TTTTTTTTTTTTTTTTTTTTTTTTAGGGGTAAAAAACAAATATTAAAAAAACAGGTCGTGGACTGGGTCTCATGGGCCACGACCGCGGCCGACTTTTTCGGCCACTGCGGCCGAAATGCCCGCGGCCTAGGCCGCAGGTGTCACATAGCACACGGGCGGACCTGGCTTGCATGTTCAGGCAARGCGGGGTGACAATTTTGTGTGGAGTGAGMGACGRTGGRCKCSCCGCCTCGGGGKGTCGTGAGGRGAGAGAGAGAGAGAGAGAGAGAGAGAGAGAGAGAGAGAGAGAGAGAGAGAGAGAGAGAGAGAGARRGAGAGASRGRSWGWGWKGTGATGGTGCTTCTTTTCTATTCTTCTGAGTGATTTTTGTATTCGACCCAAGTCACCCTTGCCTTTTCGGATCGGCGTCTCAGATTTTTCCTGTTTCTTCCCTAAGAATTGATGTGTGATTATTTCCCCTACTTTCCCTCTATATGAACTGGCAACTTGATTGGTTGATCACCTACGAGGCTACGATTGAATTTTGTATGAGTACTGACCAATGGTCGTGATGCATGGATGATTGCCAACTCCTTTTTTGTTAATGGTGTGTATGCTAAGCTGAATGCATGAATGCTTGATGTTTCTTTGCCTGAGTACGAACAAGATGAGCACACTAGATGATTTGATGTCTGTCTCACGATAGGACTGCCCACCTTCGGGTTAACAAGCCAGTGCGTGCCGGTCGCAAGCTGCGGGCCTTCATCTGCCCGACTGACGGACAAATTTTATGCAAGCACGTGTAAGCCCGACGGAGGAAAGTCGTGACTTACACTCGTGTCTGCAAAACCTGTACTCAGCCCAATCTCCCGAATGTCTGAATTTCTGCCTCACCCTGCAGTATGAATATCGAAATCCCCTTTCGTATTGTTGAGCTCGAGTGCTTGAGGGATCGTGAATTCCGAGAGTATTGGGAGCACGCATGTTCGTCCACACGCTCAAGGGCGGAACCTCCGGAATTTTCCTACTTAACAGGGAATGAACACATTTGTGAGTGGGATATCAACCAGACCTTGGGACGTATCACCCATCTCCTTGGCTGCCCTAGCTCGTACACGAGTCACGTTGTCGGGGCAAATACCCTGACAAGGGTATTTGCCGGGGTGTTTCAACGTCACACGTTGTGTGACTCTTTCGTTGAATTGAAGGACTTGATGAGACCGACGTTGCCAAAAGGTTATTCAGACTTGACCTATGACTGACAGACTAAAAGTTTCGAATGTTCCGAACGCGTGTGGCGTCGAGGAGTAACGAATGTGAATGGTAATGCTTCGCTTTCGTCGAAGCCGCTGGAAAATGCGGACATGGGAACGGAAAAACTAAACCTATTCTACCTAACAGCCACGCGATTCAGGGCCTGAATGGGCTAAAAAGGGGGGATGCGCTGGGTATGGGAACGAGGCACAAAAGGAATGGGGAGTTTTTGTTTGGCCGCGGAGCTTGACACCGAGCCAGGGGTTGCTAGGCCAATGCCAGGGCCACGCGGCCTGCCAATGGGGTAAGGCCTGCCAGCAAGGCCTTTAAGGCCACGGGCGGGCAGGCGCGCCTGCCGAGCCACAGGCACGCACGGCCTACCGAGCGACAGGCAGGTACGGCCTGCAAGGCCACGATATGGGGGATAGGGACGGGGCGAAGCTCTTCATATAGAAGAGTTGCTCCTATTATTATTGTGATAGGAGCTAGCCTAGTAGGTTATAGCATCAGACCCTCAGCCCACTGATACAAGGATCAAATCTCTGTCGCCGTACTACTTGGCTATCTCCTTTTGGGAGCTAGTAACCAGACACTTGGCGCGGCCGATCCCGGCCGTGCGATCGTGAGATCACGTGGCTGAGATCAGCCGCGCGAAGAGCATGGCCCCTGCGCAAGGATAACACGCATAAATCGAGAAATGTTCAATTTTGTTTTTGGGAAAAAAAAAAAAAAAAAAAAGGGGACTAAAGAACTAAAATATGGCGCGCCAGCTGGCGCGTGTTGAAGTGACTAAGAACTTCTAAGTTCCCGGTAGTGCTGCTGGTGCCTGTTGGAAACGGGCTGCCACGTTTAGGTAGTCCTTTTTCCTTCTTTTCTTTTTGTGTTTTTCTTATGTTAGATTTTGCTAAGATTTGTTTTAGATTTTCTTTTTTTTATATTTGGGTTAGATTTTGATTTTCTTTTCTTCTTTTAAGTGCCCGTTCGTTTTGAACGAACGGGCTGCACCGACTGTTTCGTCGGACTTGCACCGACTCATCAGGAGGCTAAGCCCTGATAGTCGGTTCCCCGACTGAATCTGCTGCATGATCGCGGCTGTGTTCGGGTTGTCGTGGCACGTTGTGTGTGTGTGTGCGAGAGAGAGAGAGAGAAAGAGAGAGAGAGGGGGCACGAAGTGACTTACCTGGCGTTGCCCTCCCCCCACTTTCCTATAGATATGATGAGTAGAATGGGATGAACCTGCCGCTAGGGCAGGCAAAGATACACCGCCATATTTTATGCCCCCCACCTCCTCTGCTCTGCATGGCTGCGGTTGCGCCC